GTTCAATCCCTGAAACTCTCATAGCAGGAGAGAACTGACCCCCACAAGTTGCTCTCTGAGCTCTACAAGTGAGCAAGTGTGTGTGTGTGTGTGTGTGTGTGTGTGTGTACATGCGTGTGAACACAGACATCTCTGGAGTCTAGAAGAGGCTGGCAAACCCCCTGGAGTTGGAGCTACAGTGGTCGTGAGCCACCTGATATGTGTGCAGGGAATGAAGCTCTGGTCTTTTGCAAGAACAGAGGATGCTCAGCCATCCCTCTGGCTCCTGTCAAAGCCATCCTTACTCGGATAAAGTTCACATGAGGCCAGCTCCCAGTTCCCATTATGGTACCAAAGCTTAGAAGGGAAGAGATGCTGGCAGCTTGCTGGGGTAATCCTTGAACTTGGGGAGTGGAGGCCAGAGCAGCAGGAAGTCAAGGCCAACCTTTGACTACAGACAGGGTACAATGCCAGCCTGGGCAATCCGAGACTGTCTCCAAAGGAACAACCAAAGAACAGCAAAAAACAAGAAGAGAAGAAAAGAAACCACTCTCCCCCACAATGCTCAGAGCAAGGGCAGTCAGGGGCTCGGGCCAGGAACTTAGAATCATGAGGGCGTGCCCCAGGCTTACGGCATCATTTAGAAGTGATGGGATGGCTGCCGTGGAGTCTGGAGCACCAAGAGATCAGTGTCCCCGAGCAGCAGACTCCATGAACGGTGACCAGCATCCACTGGAGTCCGGCTGCCCATGTTTCTTGGGAGATGGTAACAGGGCGGGATCCACAGTAAGTCATTTTGGAGCATGCAGCTGAAGCCTTCCTCCATGCCTGATTCACCCTCCTGGTCTTTCTCTGGGGTCTTGGAGCTCCTGAGTCACCTTAAGTAAACCCTTCTTCCACCGACAAGTCAGCCATCTTGTTGTCGGGATTTTATTTATTTATTTGTTTAAGTTTTTTTTTTTTTGTGTGTGTGTGTGGTTTGAAAACAAGCATCTTGACTAATACATCAGGAAAATGAGCCACCATTTCAAAAGCTACGGTTGCTAAGATGGGGATGGTAGCCTGTAGTCTGAGCAGTCAGAAGGCAGAGGCTAGATGAGCATTTGAGGGAGCCTGGGCTACACAGTGAGACTTTATCTCAAAACTCAAGGCGAGGACCCTCTCAGTCTTGTCTTCTAGCCGTTCCCATGCCTTTGTGTGTCAGTCACCTTTCTATCGGGACCCCAGGGACCACACTGGGCTGGGACTCAGATCAGAGCCTCACTCAGCTCTCATTAGAGAAGTTTCCCCTTGCTGTAGATGGGAGCTAACAGAGACATCCAACTGGACCACGTGCAGAGAGTGAGGGACATGGGAGCATGCAGTCCTAATGGGGATGTTTCCATCCACCCTGACCCCCAAGGCTCAGGGACCTGTGTGGAAGAGGGAAAGCTTGCTAGAGCCAGAGGCAACAGCTGACTCCGTAGAAACAGCGGCCTCTGGACACAGCAGGATAGCTGCACAGGCGAACTCACAGGGACTGTGGCAGCAGGCAAAGGGCTCGCACGGGTTCAAGTCAGATTGGGAGGGAGAAGTAGACAAGAGCCCCCTTCATCAGCTACCTGCTAGCACAGGAAACACCAGTTTCCTCCAATGGAGTCTCACTGGACATATTAATCTCACTTTGGAGCAGGCCTCATGCCCAGGAGCAGTTGGGCCAACACAAAAAAAGTCAATGATACTTTTGTAGACTTTTTTGTCTCATTTTGGTTTATTTGGGGTACTTTTTTTGTCATATTGGTCTATTAATTGTTTTGTTTTGTTTTGTTTTTGAGACAGGGTTTCCCTGTGTAGCTTTGGCGTCTATTCTAGAACTCACTCTATATACCAGGGTAGGAGATGGAGATGATCTGAGAGGACTCTAGAGAAATCTGGGGAGGCAGAAATACGATCAAAAGATATTGTATGCTATGCAAAAATGTTTTCAATAAAAGAAAATCTTAAAAATCAAACCAAACACAGCAAACAAAGACATCGTGCTCTAGAGAAGCTAGAAGGCTAGGCGTGGTAGCATACACCTGTAATTCCAACCCTGACACTACTGTGGGAGGTCTTCTCTTAGCGGGGGAAGGGAGCTGTATCAGCCAAGAGCCCGTCAGAAGCAAAACACACATTAAAATAAAGAGTTGGCCTCACAGACAGTGTGCTAGAAGGCAGAATGGGCAAAGGACAGGGGAAAGGCTGGGCAGGCCTCCTGCGGGCTAACAGCCTTGAGAAACAGCTTTGACCTCCTGACCCAGGGCCAGGAGGTGCTACTTAAACCTGGGGACTTAGGAGTGGCCCCCTGGGTGGGGTTCAGCTTCCAGCTCAGACCTCTAAGGAAAGGTGCATCGAAAGGAGGGGAGCAGGTGCTCAGAGCTCCCAGGGGTTTAGCTCAGCCAGTGACAGCTTGAGTTTCTGTTAGCACCTGGGAACCTGGGGTGGGGGGATGTGCAGCTGATCCTGGGACCATTCAGAGGAGCCGAAGCCAGGGCTCTTAGATGCTTCTGTGTACACCAGTCCAGGCATGATCCCATTCCGGGGCTCTTTTCACGGCTGTTTTCTAAGCACTTCGTTATGGAGTGAATGTCTTCCTCCTCCAAGGTCCTATGTTGAAACCCTAATTGCAGTAACGGTGTCTGGGGATGGAGACTCCAGTGCCAATAAGATGCTGAGTGTGGAGCCCCACAGTGAGATTAGGGCGCTTGTATGCTTCTAGGCTTCTGTTTCTCCAGCCATGTGAGGACACAGCAAGGAAGGGCTATCTGGGCTTAGGGGTGTAGCTCAGTGACAGAATGCTTGCCTAGTGTGTGTGAGCCTGGGTGCCCGGCACAAACAAACACACACATGTGTGCACACACACACTCTTGCACACACACTCATGCACATACACAGAGTTTGTGAATGGCATATATCAGTAATCCTAGCACATATGAGGCCAAGGCGCGAGGATCAGCAGCTCGAGGCTAGCCTCAGCTGCATGAGGCTCTGTCTAATAACAACAAGTGATAAAAGTTATCTCTTTAGTCACCATCTGAAAACCAGAGAAGGGGTCTGAGCAGGTATAGAATCTGCAAGCAATGGGATTCTGATGCCTGGACTCTGGGTCAGTAAGTAACAATTGTCTTGGGCTGAAGAAAAAAAAAAAAAGAGACTGAGCAGTTAGAAGCACTCGCTGCTCTTCCAGAGGACCCTAGTTCGATTCCCTGAACCCATATTTGACTGCTCAACACTGCCTGTAACCCTATTCTAGGGTATCTGACTCCTCTAGCCTCCATGGGCACTGGTACTGATGTGCACATACAGAGAAAGACGGACAGATACACATACACATAGTTAAAAAGAAAAGATAAAAATAAAATAAAAGTTATACTCAGAAAAAAACACAATAAAAAAAGAAGGCATGCATGTCTTGAACTAAGGGGATTGTTCAGGGCAGAGTGTGTGCTTAGCAAGTATAAAGCCATGGATTTGACCCACAGTGCACACAAACAGGAGGGGAAAGGAAGAAAGAGGGAGAGGAGGGAAAGAAGAGGGAAGGAGGAGAGGAGAGAAGAAAAGAATGCTGTCACTACTACTAGCCTCCGGGACAAACTGAGGCACAATGCAAAGCATGCTTCATAGGGTTCCTGAAATAGAACACCCACTCAGTCCCTGGCTAACAGATGGCTAAAATGTGCACACCTTGAAAATAATTATAACGCCTGTGACTACGCATGACATTATGACAGGTGTGTTCATTCAGAACTTTATATACGCAGAGCATTCTGCTGTAATAGCGTGTGTATAGATGTGTGCTGAGTCTAAGTTCTTTTTCTTGTTTTACCCCTTGGCTTTTTGAGACATCGCCTCCTGTAGTCCAGGCTGGGTTTGAACTTGCTATGTAGCCAAGGACAGCTTCAAACTCCTTCCTGATCCTCCTTCCTGTCTCCATCTCCCGGGTCCTGGAATTAGAAGTGTGCTTCACCATGCCTGGCTAATAATTTATATATTCTGGAGTCAGGATGCCACTACATTGCTCGGGTTGGCTACCAACTCACGCCCTTCCTGCTTCTGCCTGCTGCATTGCTGGGATTGTAGGTAATTGTTCCTGCCATCACAATAATTATAACTTTATGGGGAAACCTAATAACAAATTTTGAATAAAGAGTAATTTAGTTACTAGGATTTTTACCAGTGTGAATTTCTTGGTGTATTTGGTTTGGTTTGATTTGGCTTTGAGAGAGGCCTCCAGCTCTTATGGAGCAGAGGTGTGCACCCCTGCTCTAAGCTTATGTGGCACTGGAGATTAAACACAGGGCTGAGTACTGGATGAGCCAGACCTCGGCCAACTGAGCTATGTCCTCAGCTCTTTCTTAAGTATGAGAAATGTACCCTGATAAAACGGAATACTGGCATTAGGAGACACTGAATGAGTTCCTTCAATAATTAATAGCAATATAAAAGTGTAAGCCAAATAAAGCCCTTTCTCCCCAACTTGCTTTTTGGTCATGGCATTTTGTCACAGCCGGAGAAACCTTAGCTAACACAGACTTCTTGCATTTGTGTGGGATTCTGGGGATCCACACTCGGGCCTTCATGTCTGCTGAGCTTTCTCCCCAGGTAAATGAGCTACTATGATTAGGGTCACAGGACAGCTCCAGCCGAGTAAACCGTTCTTAGGGTCCCTCTTCTCCTCTGTGGGCGTTCCCCAAGACGTCCTCACCAGTGGGATTCAACACTGATTTATTTGACCTAAACCTTTGACTTTCTTTACTTCTTGATGTTTTAGATTGCTCAATAAACGCTAATTTGTGACATTTTGCCCCTTTCTCTTAGGCCACACTGTTCTTTTCCTTCTTGCCCACAGTTCCCTCCCAATTATTGTTCTTTGTGGATCTCTTTTTCACAATACTTTCTATTTCTACCCCCCCGAATATTTGCCTGCCTTCCTTATGAAATGCTCTTTATTCTGCCCTCACACTGGAACTTTCCTACTACAAGGAGTGATTTGCTGTGTTTATTTTCTTTGGAATCTTCTCTCTTTTATAGACGCAGGTCATTTATCAGCTGGGAATGGAACTCTTCCTGGTTGGGTCAGGGCATGCTGCAAACTGCCCCGTAATTGGAAGTCCCTGTAATAATGCTTTTCTTGGCCAGGACACAAACCACACTCGAGAAGGTCTTCCTGAGTGCTGAAGGTCAATCAACTAGAACTTTCTCAAGCTTTTAGAGGAGTGGATTCTGGAAACAAATCTGCTTCCCCAGGAGCAACTATCCTCAGGAGGTGAGCATTAGTGATATCCGGTCCTAATCCTGACTCTGGTACCTGGGCGGCGTCTTCTCTCCCAAGCCTTCATCTAAGTTTCTTCATCTTAGGCCTAGGTTTACATCAGAATTGCCTTGATTTTATAGGAAAATGTTGTTTTAACATGTGTTTACTTCACTGAACGTGTTTATGTTTTTGTGCGTGAATACTCATGATTCTGTGCGCGCGTGCATGTGTGAGCATGTAAGTCACAGGACAGCTTGAAGGAGTCAGTTTTCTTCATCTGTCTAGGAATGGACCTCAGGGTTGGTAGCAAGCACCTCTACCCAGGGGACCAACTCATTGTCCTCCATCGGGTGAGAATTAAAAATAAAATAATTTGCAAACTGGGCATGGTGCCACACGCTTCTGATCCCAGTGATGGGGAGATGGGGCGGGATGAGACCCAGTTAAGGTCAGCCTTGGCTGCTATGGAGTTGGAGGCCAGCCCGAACTTTATAAGAACTTGTATCAAAACAAAAACAAACCAAAGGAAGAAAGAAAGGAAGGAAGAAAGAAAGAAAGAAAGAAAGAAAGAAAGAAACAATTTGGTAGCCTGGAAGCTGCGAAGTACTATATAAACGGAAGCTGTTGCTGGACCAGTTCCTATGGGAGGCCTGTGGCAGAAACAGAACAGTCCGGGTCTCATTCGCTTTGACAGGGCCTGTGCAGTCAAACCAATGGAGCTACTTTGGTGAAGAGCTGCACATACAGGCATCTTTAAAAAGGCAGACAGATTCGGGGCGTGGGGGCACACTCCTTGAACCTCAGCACCGGTGGATCAGAGGGCAGACAGATCTCTGTTGTGAGTTTGAGGCCAGCCTGGTTGATATGGTGAGCTCCATGGGCCAGCCAGGGCTACATAGTGAGACCCCTGTCTTTAAAAAGAAAAACAAAAAGGTGAGAGGGGAGGGCAAATAAATAAAGTCACTCATTCATGGCCATGGTCCCTCTTCAAGGTTCTGAAGTTTCAGAATTAAACTAAAATAACCCAGCTGGCCTTGACCTGGGCCTCCTCCTATTCCACCTGCACTAGTGCCCTCACCCAGCCAGGGTTAGCAGAGCCACGGGGCCTGTCAATCCTACACCCTTTCCTACAGTAGCCTTGCTCTAGAGAGTCATACATTTCTTGCCTGCAGAATGGGGCTAGTTAAGTCCATAGCACCTGTCTCCACAGGGTGTGTGAGGAATGCAGAGAGGTAACACTCCCTGGAGGAGGGACAAGGCAAAGAAGCTAATTTTAGAGCAGAGTACTAAAGGCAAGAAGAGATGTTGCCAGAAGGGAATGGGTGCTGAGGAACCCTGCTCTCTGTCCCCCAGACTGGGAACAGCCTGTGCCTTTGACAAAGACATGAATGAGCTTGCTGTGTTCAGCAAGAGGCACAAAGAGATCCTGGCTGGAGAGAGGGCTGCCTGGGTGGGAGGGGCCTGGCAGTGCTAAGCTGAAGGGGAAAGTGGGAGAAGGCCGGAGTTCCAGCATCATGGCCCGTTCTCCCCACAGCTCCCTCCAGCTCGCCCCGTAGCTTTGAAGAGGCGTTACTATTCTGCCACAGTGGAGAGACTTTTAGATGCTCTGCAACCCATGCTGTTGGGAGTTGAAGAACTTTCAAGTTACACTTCTATTTTCTCTTTGAGACCGGGTTTCTCTGGGAAGTCCCGACTGTCCTGGAACTCACTCTGTAGACCAGGCTGGTCTCAGATTTACAGAGATCTGCCTGCCTCTGCCTCCTGAGTGCTGACGTTAAAAGCATGTGCCACCACTGCCCAGATGTCAAGCCATACTTCTTAAAGCCAGGCAGGGCGCTGGTATCTGGAATGCCAGCATTTGGGAGGAAACTGAGGCAGGAAGACCACCAGTGAGTCTGAGACCAACGGGATTTACGGGCTGCAAGGCTTCTGCCGCTCTCAGTACTAACAGCCCACTGTGTTTAGAGCCAGTTTAGATTGGTATTTACAGCTGTCTTTTAATTTTCTAGTACTCTGTGTACTAGTGATGAACTGGCGCCGGCTACTCAGCTTCCCCAGGTCTCAGTTTCCACATTGGCTTTCAAGAGATTTAGATTATATATAGGCTCCTATGTCTCCAAACCAAGGCTCCTTCCCAGGGTTTCCATCTCAATGGTAAAGCTAGAAACTCACTCATCCCTTTAGCTGCTCCTGGCTAATGTGAACGGAACCCTGCCAATCCTCCCGGAACACACCTTTCTCTCTCACTTCCGCGGCACCATCCATACTGCCCCTCTCCATACCTTGCTTGAACCGGGCAGAGCAACCGCTTATTAAATCTCACATCACACCCCAGCGGAAGGCCCACTTGCTGTGAGCTCCAAAGTCCCTGTCGCACAGCCTATGCGTCGCTGCTGGAGCGTTCTCTAACTTCCATGCCCCGTCCCCACCTGCCATCTGTCTTTGTCCTGTTCCTAGAACACGATGCCGACCTTTCCTGCACCCTTTGTTGATTTTCAGTTCCCCTCCCGTGCCTTTTCTTACGTCTGGAACCTTCTTGGCTGAAAGCCCCCTCCTAGGGAGGCCTTGCCTGCCCTCCCTGCCTGGAGTAGCTTCCTACGACACCATTTTCTAGCACAATGCTCCCTTCTTCAGGGACTGACCACAGCTTCTCATTCGCTTAGATCAGGCTCTCTAGGGAACAGCCCCGAGATGAGGAGACAAGTACAAGATGTATTGAGGAAACGCTCTCAAAGGGCAGCTGGCATGGAGCAGGACAGGAACGGGGCGAAGAGCGAGGCTCTGGAGTACCGTCAAGCCTTCACTGCAGCCCACCGCGAAGACTCGCGCTTGACTCTGCCTGTGACTTTTTTTTTTTTTTTTTGATTTTTCGAGACAGGGTTTCTCCGTATTCCTATTCCAGTCAGACGGACTCATCCATCAAGGACCTGGCACAGGGTGGGGTCTGCGCCCGAGAATCTCCAGCTTCCTCCAGCTGCCCAGGAGCAGGCTTCTGGAAGGTTCCATGTGAGAAGGTGCACTTTACCAGGGCAATGGCCACAGGTAGCAAAGCTAATACCAGTCACTCTTGCTTCTTTATTTTTGTTCAAGTTTTTGAAGTTAAGATTTATTTACACCATATCTCCTTTTCTCTTTTAACCCCTCCCACACCTCCCCTTTCTCCCTCTCAAATTCATGCCCCTTTTTTTGTTATTGTTTTACACACACACACACACACACACACACACACACACACACACATTTTGCTCAATCCACTTAGCGTTGTTTGTATGTGTATAATTTCAGGGCTGGCCATCAGGGGCTCTTCCCTGGGAAAGACTCTCTCTCCTCTCTGTGCTCCTTAGTTGCCTGTAGTTCTTAGTGCAGGAGTGAGGTCTCTTGAAATTCCTCCCTTCTGTGTTATTGGTGTTGTAGTTCTTATTTCGGCCTTGTCTGTTGGTGTTGTATTTATTTTGGTCTTAGTCAGGAAGCCATATTGTTGAAATATCATGGGTGATTTACTCCTTTAAAAAAAGATTGCTTAGTTATTTATCTATGTGTGTACCTATCTCCATATAATACACATATACACCTGTGTGCAGGTACATACATGTTGGGGCTAGAAAAGGGGGTCAGGTATCTTCTTCTGTCACTTTCTACCTCTCCCCTTGAGTTGGATGTTTCCCTGAACCCAGAGCTCCTGTTCATTGGCTATGCTAGAAGCCAGCAAGCCCCAGCAATCTTCCTGTCTCCCACCCTTGGTGCTGGGGTTACAGGCATTCAAGGGATGTCTGATTTATTATGGGGGAGACAGAATCTGAATTCCAGTTCTCAGGATTTTGCAGCAAACACTCTTAACTGATGAGCTAACTCTCCATCCCATAATGCTTCTGGATTATATTGTAATGCCCTAACTTAAATCAACACCAGCATAACCCTTTGGGGATACTGTAGCAGCCCCCAAATCATGACATGAAGACTTAGTATTAGTTATGAGTGCTTGACCTTATCCTATGCTTGTCCTGCTAGCTCTTATAACTTAATTTAACCTGTTTCTCTTCATCTACGTTTTGCCTCGGGGCTTTTTACCTTTCATTCTGTAGTCCTGCTTTCCTGCTTCCTCCATGTCTGGGTGGTTGGCAGCTGCCTGGCTCGCTGACCCTGCGCATCTCCCTCTCTTTCTTCCTCATTCTCGCTGGGGACTAGGTTCCTCCTCCTAGTTATTCTCTCTACCCACCAGCCCCTCCTATGCCCCTTCTGACTAGCTATTTGGTCATTCAGCTTCTTATTAGACCAATCAGGTACGTTAGGCAGGCAAGGTGAAACAACAACATATCCTTATCTAGCTAAACAAACGTTCTATCCTGCAGCAGGAGCTCAGCAACACAGCACAGGTCTAGGGTGTACAAGGTCCCGTATCAAGATCCAGCACAAAACTAGGAAGGATGCCTCTTGGTCAGCAGATGTGGTGAGCATCCAGATTCTCGGCAGCTCTGCAGACCCCCTTTGTCTGCGCATTTCTTCAGGGGGGCAGTCCTTCAGTTACAGCCTTTCAGTAAATGAATAAGTGTCAATAAATAAACTGTCTTCCCAAACTTTATGAAAAAAACTTCTCTCCCTTAATTTTTTTTGGGGGGGGAGGGGTGTTAAGACAGGGTTTTTCTGTGCAGTCCTAACTTCCCTGGAATTTGCTTTGTAGACCAGGCTGGCCTCAAACTCAAAGATCTGCTGGGATTAAAGGCATTTGCCACCATGCCTGGCTATTTCCCTAGTGAAACCCTGATTCCTCTAGCTGACTTACACATGCGGACTTCGGAGATCACACAGCTGAGCACGAATTGGCCCCTTTCCCAATGAGTTTGCAGCAGGTAACGCCTCGGTTGTGGGTTATGTAGGTCATGACGGCAGCTACTCTGGCTATTTTACAGGCACTTGGAGCCGTCTCTGGCTGATTTTCAGACTTCCAGTGGGCCAGAAGAAAGGAATGCAATTGCTTGGTATCTCTGCTACATATCATGCCTGTCTCCTTTGTTGCCTTAACCTGTGGGGCAGTTCCTACTCGGCTCTGCACGTAGGCATGTTGAACATGTCAAAGATGTCTCGTCAGACTACAGCGCAGGGTTAGTTTGACCTAAACCTGCCTAGCCTTGCTCCTCCCCCTCCGAGGTTAAAGATATCCTCAGCTGGGACCAGAGAGAGGGCTCAGCAGTTGAGAGCACCATCTGTTCCTTCAGAGGACTGGGATTCGATTTCCAGCACCTACATGGGGCTCACAATGGTCTGTAATTACAGTCTCAGGGGGCCTACCAGGCACACATATGGTACAAAGACATGCATGCAGACAAAACAGCCAACAGATAAAATAAGTAAATAAATATTTTTTACAAGTCTGACCCTGAGAGTGAAAGGCCGCACAACTCTGGAAGATCTCCCCTGATCCCAGAAAGGACAAGAGCATCCCTTTGCGGTGTCTGCCTTCCTGTGCCCCATACTCCTCACTGCCTCTAAGCATCCTACTCTATTTGGGGTTGAGCATCTGATTCACAAGCAAAGCTCTCCCTTCTCCATCCTTTGGCTACTTAAGCCAGCCTTTCTTCGGCCCCAAGACTGACTGGTTTTTCTGAGGAATAAGCATCCAGCCTTGGATTCTGAAACATCATGAAAGACCTAATTAACGATGCCCCCATTCAGCAGGAAGCAGTTTGGAGAGAAGTAACTGCGCCCATATTCCCAAAAAATGTTTATAAATGTTCTTTTACATTTAAAGGGGGATATGATATAGGTATGAATAATTTGCATTAGTATAGATTTTGCTTTATTGATAGAGATTTACGGTCAATTTTGTTATATGTATATGTATTTCTGATATTGATTAAGGTATTGTGATTGTGTAGTTCATTATTAAAATGTAATGTATAATTAGGAAATATAGGTTGTTGATGGATAATCATAAATAATAGTCAAGTTTGTAGTCATGTTAGTTAATATTTTCTAGATGTGAGTAGATATATTTTAGATAGGCATTCTTCATATTTTTCAAAGATTATAGAATATGGCATTTTAAATGTTTTAATAACTTAGGACTTTTCATGACAATGAGACACTCTGCTCCTGGCAGCACCAATCTACTTCAAGAGGAAGATGGGCATCAAAGAGGCTCGTTATGGAGTTTGATAGCCATTTGGGCAAGAAACTGCTCTTGCCTGGACTATTGCATAAACTGGACACAGAGAACCCGCAGAGAGAGGACTACTGAACTTGCCTAAGGTGAGATGATCTTTCGGGGTTCCTGATTCATGAAAGAGTCTGTAAGACATTCTGCAGGACACAACAGATAGTGACTGAACTGACTTTGAATTTTCCTGCTTTATGGAAATGTCTGCTGGATACCATGGGCCTGAAGGCTGAAGATGGATGCCCCAACGGTACAGAGGAACTTTGGGTGACTGTCCAGGCAGCGAGATGTCTCTGTCATTTCTAGAGTTTTAAAAGTTGCTTTTTTTCTTGTTTGCTTAGGTAATATTGTATCTTTCTGGAGTCTTTGATGGAGTTAAGAATAGTTAGTTATAGTTATAGTTTTCCTTAGTTATGATAAAGATTATTGTAACTTTTACTTGATAACTGTTTTGTTATATGTAATTTTGCTATGTTAAAGTTAAAGCCTTTTTTTTTTTTTGTTTAAACCGAAAAAGGGGAAATGATGGAGGAAGGTCATTGGTTAAATAAAAAGAAACTGCTTGGCCCTCATTGGTTAGAAGATAGGTGGGAGGAGTAAACAGAACAGAACGCTGGGAGGAAGAGGAAGTGAGCTCAGACTCCACCCACAGCTCTCCTCTCGGGAGCAGACGCCTCAGAGAGACGCCATGCTCCCAGCTCCCAGGCAGACGCACACGATGAAGCTCCGACCCAGGATGGACATAGGCTAGAATCTTCCCGGTAAGTGCACCTAGGGGTGCTACACAGATGATTAGAAATGGGCTAAATTAATATGTGAGAATTAGCCTAGAAGAGGCTAGATAGAAATGGGCCAAGCAGTGATTAAATGAATACAGTTTGTGTGTTGTTATTTCGGGCATAAGCTAGCCGGGCAGCTGGGGTGCTGGGGACGCAGCCCCGCCGCCCTTATTACTACAATTTGTTTCAGCTGCTTTTCTATTGTTGTGCTAAGACACCATGACCAAGGCAGCTTACAGCAGAAAGAGTTTATTGGGGATTATACTTCTAGAGGGTGAACCCATGAACATCACAGCAAAAAGGATGGCGTCAGGCAGGCAGGCACAGTGCTGGGACAGTAGCTGAGAGCTCACATCCTGATCTGTGAGCTCAAGGAGGCCATGGCGGTGGGGTTCCAGCTGGGAGTGGCACGGGCTTTTGAAACCTCAAAGCCTGCCCCCAGTGACACACCCCTCCAATAAAGCTGTACCTCCTTGTCCTTTCCAAAGACTCAATAAATGGAGACCAAAAGTATCCAAATCTATGAGACTATGGGGGCCATTCTCATCCGAATGAGAAGACGGTGTATTTACGGTGGAGGAGGAAACTATTCTTTAGCATAGAAACCCACTATGCAGCCCAGACTGGCCTCAAATTCACAGCCATTCTCTTACCTCAGTCTCCTGAATACTAGGGGTGTCACCTTGATCTCAGGCTCCTCCTGCCTCAGCCCACCAAGTGTTGACATTATGAACCTCACCATGCTTACTCAGCTTCCAAACATACTGTGAGTTCGTCACAGGCGCCTCCAAGAGTGAGAAACAGCGGTGACTCTGTCACCCAGGGAAATAAAAGTGTTGCCTGCTAGAATCATTGATTGTAAAACTGCGCACTGTGGCTGGAGAGATGGCTCTGCAGTTAAAGGCTCTGGCTGCTCTTCCAGAGGACCTGGGTTCAATTCCCAGCACCCATATGGCAGCTCGCATCCTCCAGTTCCAGGATACCCTCACAAGACATTCATACAGGCAATACACCAACTCACATAAAAATTAATAAATAAATCTTTAAAAAATACCTGAGTGTTGAAGTGCACACCTGGAATTCCAGCACAGGAGAGCAAAGGCAGGGGCATTAGAAGTTCAAGGTCATCTCTGTCTACATAGCTCGTTCTAGATCTTGCCTCAAAAACATTTTTGTTTTAATGCAAAGTAGAGGAATCAACAAAGGATCTACTCAAACACAGGCAAACCAATACATTAGTCACCCTATTGCAAAGAAGAGAACCAAATGCATTTGGGTGGTACAGACAGTAGCTCTGAAATGAAGGTTACCTTGCAGTAGGTGGAATCTCAACCCTGTGGAAGGCAGGAGAATTTGCTGAGCCCAGCAGTTAGGGCACAGCCTGGGCAGCACAGACGAACCTATCTCTAAACAAATCAAAGCCCAAATGAGCAATGACATCAAACTATCATTAAAAGGATACAATAAAATTTTGCTTTTTTTTTTTTTGAGAAAGAGTCTTATGGAGCTCAAGCTGGCCTCAAACTTGACTCTGATAACCTTCAACTCTGATGACCTTGAACTTCTTTCTGTTCTCCAGGCATCCACCTTCCAAGTGCTGGGCTTACAGATGGGCTTATGTTGACCCACGGTTGTCTTTTTATTCTTTTCCTTTCCTTTCTTTTTTATACAGAATTTTATGTAGTCCAAGGTAGCCTAGGACTTTTTTTTTGGGGGGGGCTTGTGCAGAGGATGAACTTGAATTCCCAGCTCCCCTAGCGCTAGGGTTTCAGGCACGTGCCATCACACCTGTTTGCTTTAACGTGGTGCTGAGGAGTCAAACCCTGTGTTTCATTTGTGCTAGGCAAGTGTTCCACCAGCTGAGCTACACCCTCAGCTCAGCATCTTGATTACATACCTTGGGGTTGGTCAAAGACGACTATTCTGGGCTATGACTCAGACACGTTCTCAGAGACCTCACCAGCCCCATGTTATTCCTAGGGGCTGGAGAAATTTCTACAAACACGGGCTGTTCTTTCAGAGGACTCAGGTACAATTCCCAACCCCACATCGTGGCTCACAGCTATCTGTAACTCCAGGTCCAGGAGATCTGACATCCTGTTCTGGCCTCCATAGGCACTACCTCCATATGGAACACAGACATACATGCAGACAGAACATCCATACCACTAAAGATGAGAAAAGGAAGTCCCACTTGGTGCACACCATTAATCCCACACTCGGGGGTGGAGCTCTTTGTGTGTGAGGCCATCCTGGTCTACATAGTGAGTTTCAGTCCATCTGAAGAGACAGAGAGAGATCTGATCTCAAGAGAAAAATGAGGGGGAGGACAATGGGAAACAAAAGAAACTGATCGTGGCAGCACATGCCTGTGATCCCAGAACTAGGGGGGCTGAGGGAAAAAAATTGCCACAAGTTTGACACCAGCCTGGGCTACATAGTAGGTTCCAGAGTTGCCTAGGTTACATAATGAGAAAGTATCTCAAAAAACAAACAAAGATGAGACCGCAGAAGGGAGAGAGGGAGGAAGAGGGGAGAGATGGGAGCTGGAGTATTAGAGGGGAGGAGCAACCACGTGGTGGGTGCCCTGGCGTGAGCCTCAGCTAGACCAGAGAAGGCTCTGGGGCTGGTAGGATCAGAGTTGCCTTGAGTTTAGTGGTCCCGGAATTAGCTAATAAAAGCGTGGACTCCGATCAGACTTGGACTTTAAATAAGCAAAGAGTAATTTTGAACATGTGTGTGACTCACGCTTTACAGCCCAGTTCTACACTATCACTTATCTGACTCGGATGAACTAAGCATCGTGGGGAGTCCTGCAGTAATGTGGGGGCCAGTGTCTGAATCCAGACTTCTGCAGTAGCTGCGCTTGACCCTAGGGGATCACATTCTTTTCTACAGAGGTAATTCTCACACGGTCTGACAGCCTGCCAGCAGCCCACTCAGCCACTGAGGAAACAAGTCCTTTGGGTTTTGACGGAGAACTGAGAGTGTTGGTCAGGATATCTGCTCCGGCAACGGACTCTTGATAGCTTGCTTCCTGTAATGTGCTAGAAGAATGTGGCGTTGCACGGCATTAATGAGAGGGTCAGAGAATTGGCACCGAGGGCTAAGGAGCGGGAAAGCATGCCAAGGTCACGGTGCAGGGACAGCCTGGTTGAGTGGTCAGTTCACTGACAATGCAGCCTCAACTCTTCGACCACCATATTGAGTAACTACGCTAAGTAACTCCACTACGGTGTCAGTCCCTTAAGCCTCGATGTGCTTAGGTTGGGTCAGGTCAATGCAGGCCTTGCTCTATGGTGACAAGAGATGTCCTACTCCTGGCCTAGACTCTCACACACTTTTTTTCTCTGAAAATATTTAAAGGTCACCTTACAGCCTGGTATCAGAAATGACATCGGGGGCTGGTGAGATCTCTGAGAATGTGTCTGAATCATAGTTCAGAATAGTCATCTTTGACCAACCCCAAGGTATGTAATCAAGATGCTGAGCTGAGGGTGTAGCTCAGCTGGTGGAACACTTGCCTTGCACAAATGAAACGCTGGGTTTGACTCCTCAGCACCACAATAAAGCAAAACAGGTGTGATGGTACGTACCTGGAATCCTAGCACTAGGGGAGTTGGGAATTCAAGTTCATCCTCTGCACAAAACCCCCCAAAAGTCCTAGGCTATCCCAGAGTCTGTGTCAAGGGCTGGGCGGTAGTGGCACACGCCTTTAATCCCAGTACTTGAGAGGCAGAGACAGCCTCTGTGAGTTCAAGGCCAGCCTGA